GCCTATAGTTTTTAGACAAAACACCAGCACTTTTGTATACAAACAAGTGAAATCCTTTAAAATAGTCACTCAAAGTGTATTTGGAGCTCCTTTTGTGGTATCGCCTGGGGTCAGTTTGTAAGGCACAGTATCATGCCAATCATGCCAAAATGATTATATGTAGATTACTCACCAGATCTGGTTTTCAGCTTTTGCAAAATGCAAATGGATTCTACCCTGGGAGATTTAACAATTTAAAAGCTGTTTTGAATGATGATTTTACTCTCAAGGTGAGTACAGAGTAATCTCCAGTAATTACTCTGAGGGAGAAAATTCTCATCTGGAGTATTAAATTCTAATGCATTGATTTTAAAAAAGAAAAAATAAAATAAATAAATAAATAAATAAATACCAAAAAAAAAAAAAAAAAGTCAGGGTTGCCAGGCTGGCTCTGTTGAAAGAGCTTATGGTTCTTGATCTGGGGATCATGAGTTCTAGCCCCAGGTTAGGTGTAGAGATTACTTAAAAATGAAAAAATAAATAAACTTAAAAAAAAGCCAGACATGAGAAATGGTTGGTGCATGTAGTTTCTCCAGTTGAGATCAGATGGGGGTTGAAATAAAAGTGTGTCTCGGGGCGGCTGGGTGGCTCAGTGGGTTAAAAGCCTCTGCCTTGGGGCGCCTGGGTGGCTCAGTGGGTTAAGCCGCTGCCTTTGGCTCAGGTCATGATCTCAGGGTCCTGGGATCGAGTCCCGCGTCGGGATCTCTGCTCAGCAGGGAGCCTGCTTCCCTCATTCTCTCTCTCTCTCTCTGCCTGACTCTCTGTCTACTTGTGATCTCTCTCTGTCAAATAAATAAATAAAATCTTTAAAAAAAAAAAAAAAAAACCTCTGCCTTCAGCTCAGGTCATGATCCCAGGTTCCTGGAATCGAGCCCCGCATCAGGCTCTCTGCTCGGCGGGGGAGTCTGCTCCTCCTCTCTCTCTGCCTGCCTCTCTGCCTACTTCTGATCTCTGTCTGTCAAATAAATAAATAAAATATAAAAAAAAAAAAAGTGTGTCTCCCACTATTTCCCTCCAGCAAGTCTGCCACATTGGTGGGAAGTTGGACCCTAAGCATAGTAGGTAGTAACATCTTCCTAGCTCAGCCTACATTCAGAAAATCTTCAAAACTAAATGTGGCTCTAAGTTATTATCTTGTTTTAAAAGTTCAATATATACTTTCTCTTTTTAATCTCAAAATAAAATATTTAATTTCTCAACTTTGCTTTTTTTTTGTTCTCAAGTTTAAAATGATGAATCATATTATTTCTTATTGTAATTAGTTTGGCTGAAATATCTTCCAGTTTTGCTACTCCCTTTAATTCAAACTCATATTTTAGCCACTTTTGTAGGTGTTTTTTCAGTAAGTCAGATAATATTCTTTTATGTAGTTATTATCTAGATACCTAGGACAATTTCCCAGATACATTTTTTTGAAGGTGAGTTGTCCTCCTTTGTTTTTATATTTAGATACACAGTACCAGGCGATTTTTCTATTTACAAAACTATACCCCCTCCTAAAACAGGAACTTAATGTCTAATCATTTACATCAGATTCATTTGAATCATTAAAAACAAAATACCCAAATTGATGATGGGGAAGAGAACAGTAAGTGTTGTGATTGTCTTTCGACCACAAAAACATTTCTTAGTGTACTGAAGCTTTAGTTTTCCTTCTCCTCAGGAGTTGGGGCAGAGGGGCAGAGGCACATGAGGTCCATCTCGCCAGGCTGATTCAGGCCAGTGCAGCTGCTGGCCTGGGCACAAGCGTGGGCGGCCACCTGTGGCTCCCAGCACAGCTGTTTGGTAGAAGGCCAGCCAAAGCCCAGTCGGTGGGGTGGAGGCAGGTGGCCAGTTGGGCGGCCAGTACATTCTGGCATGGGCTGAAAGAACACCTGGTTCCACTCTGTAGACCCACCGCAGAAGGTCAAGGAATTTGTTTGCTGGCAGCAACCTGATGGTCTAGCTCTGACTGAAACAGAGAAACCCACCTTTCTTGAAACTTACCCGAAGCCAACACAGGAATCGTTCTGCTCCAGTCGTGTTGAAATAGGTCAGTGAGGCCATCTGGCATGTCTGGAAATGGTGTGGGGGGCTGTCAGACAGGAACAGGCTCTGTGATTCAAAACAGGACATTTCAGGGGAGGTGAGAGCTTTCTCTTGTATTTGGCTGCTAATTGCCATTGCAGACACCATCCACCCTTGAATATCTCTGACCATCATTTTCCTCCTCTTCCCATGAACTCTAACTACATGCTTAGAAACCACTTTGGGTCCCCATGTATAATTTTATCACCAGACATAGGAATTTTCATAGGGAACATCACTACCTACAGAGACAGGAGCCCAAAGTTCACCCTTTCCTGACCCCTGAAGTCCCACCCAAGGCCTCAGGCCCACTGCTTCCCAGGAAAAAGAACCCATTTCCTTTGGTTTGGTGAGTCACTTTCTCTCTGGTAGAGGAGCATCCTTCCAAATTTCCCAGTCCCAGATGTAGACCAGGCAGCAACCTGCCATGTGCCAAAGACGTAACACTTGCCTCACTGGTTCTGTGACCCTTGACAACTTACTCAACCTCTCTAAGTCTCAGTTTTGGAATTTGTAACTAAGGATTAACAGTATTGTCCTCATAGTTTTGTTGTAACCCATCCAGTGAAAGGACATATGTTAAGTGCCTAGCATAGAACATGTGTACAACAGGTACTCAGCAAATATTGGTAGTATAAATGAATGACCATGGTTGATGCCACTCTCTAGACACAAAGAGGCCACACCTGGTCTGGACTGGCTCCGGGCTAGAACTTCCTGCTGGCATCTTTGCTTGGGATTTCAAAGGACTCATCTCACAGTTATTGCCCAGGCCCATAAAGTAGCCTGCTATGCACAAAAGCCCTTGTTGGGGGCAAAGATCAGGCCTTTCCAAGAATTGCACTGGCCTTGAGCTAGGAGAAACCTCTACTGTGAAGCCTTTGACCTGAAGAAGGTAGTCTGACTTCTGGGAGGCCTGTAGCTGGTGGGATAACTTGCCCCTCTGATGTGAAACATCTCTAAGGTAATGCATCCAAGCCAAGGTCCAAGAAGAGATCTCTGGATTGAATTTCACAAAACTTAAAGACTAGAGCAATGAAATCTTGACCAGTCAGGCACCACGTTCTGTGCCCTGAGGTGAATGGGAATATTCAGGCTCCCTAATCCCTGAACTCTGGACATCAGGTACTATTACCCTTGTGTGACTACACAGTGTTATTCCAATATAGATAGATATTGCCCTGGAAATTGTCTTTCATCATCTATGCAGCTCAAGACCTTCAGTGGGCTAATAGAAATCATCAACCAAGAGACAACACAAACATAACCTTGGTTCCCCACAGAGGGGAGCCAGCCCTCAAACTACAGTTTGATTTCGGGCCTCAGATACTATCTGTGGATGAAACGAGGGACAAAGAATGCTAGAAATAACCCTCTGAGAAAAAGATGGAAGACCATTTTCCTTTCAAGTTACAGTTTGGGGTTTTCAAGTCTGAGGTACAAAGCCATTGTGAACAGCTGTTCTTTTTGAAAACATGTTAGTTTATTCCACACATTCTGATGATATGAATGTGACAGAATTCCAAACAGCTTATCTGTCACTTTTTCATTCAGGGACTAATCTTTTCTCTTTCTTGCAACCACTTATTTAGAATTTTCCAGGCCTCCTGGACTGTGACTTTTTTTTTCCTCCCTGAATTACATTTTCCCCCTTTCTTTTAAAAGTAATGAATATTATCCTAGTCACACCAATTCACACATTTTTGTTACAAAGATCAATAACCAACTTTCTTCCTAATTCACCTGAAAAAGAAATGTCACCTGGCCTTTTGGAGCATAAACGTTTAAGGATGATCCTAGTGCTCTTTGGAGAGTGGCAGAGATCTCCACGAGGGTGGATTGTCCTTGGATCAGGGCCCTAAGTGGGAAAGTACCCTTTAGATATTTCAAAGGGAGAAAACAGTTAACTGGAAGCTTAAAAACAACTGTGAATAAACAGACTCGCATCTGAGGAATCTAAGCTAAGGCGAACCTTATTTCTCATTATTTCCCCCTTCCCAACCTCTAGCAGAACTACCCTTTGCAAATCCAGTGTGAAGATGATACAGCTGGTCCCATAGTCTTCTCATTCACTGAGACTTCATAATACTCCAGCCCCTTTTGACTCCTAGAATGACCCTGAAGAAATACTCTCCAAGACTGTTTAATCATCGCACCTGATTTCTTCTAGTGTATCAGGTTGAACGTGTGTGCAGGTGGATACGGAGGTAAGCAGAATGAAGCACAACCTGCCTGGGCATTCCACATCTTCTTATGTAATTGATGAAATTGTCATCATGAACATACTCAAATAGCTAAACACGCAGGAGGGTTACCTTCATTTTAGTTGATGAGTTTTAAAAAATTGCTGAGTTACCTTTGCATGTGACAGTATACCCCAGCTCAGCAGTGGCTGAACCATTAGTTTAGCCTCAGAGGAAATGTCTAAAGGTGGAAAAGTATGTCCCTCATGTTCCTATGCTCCCTATTGAATTTAAGTAGAAAGATCCTTCTTCAAGTGTCAATACTTTTGTCCAGCACCTTTTCCACAACGAAATATCTTGCAACCTCTTCTATGCTAAAGAATTTACATGGAAAGCAAAAGAAAGAGGGAGGCAGAAGAGTCATGGGTCAATCAGGTCTTCCTTTCCAGGGTTAGAATAGCTGACTAGTGGCCCCTGGGGATAGAGATCCACCAGAAATACCCAAAGCCCTTATATTTAATAGTACTGAAATAAAAATAAATGCAATCTTTGAGGAGGGTAATAAGGATACAACAAATTATCTCAATCCTGGATACTACCTGGATAATTTGGGTAGTGTAGTGTGGTATCCAAAGGATAGATTCCTCCTACTGCAAGTTTAACACCAGCTTTTCAGGGAATAGACAACTTTCATCTGAATCATTCTTACAAGCTGAATTTTTATTTTTACTCAATTATCTATGTTAAAAAAAAAATCTGTGCCTGGTGTGGAATTTCACTCCATCAAGTGTTACAATGATTTTCTCATTTTCATTACAAGCAGGAGAATGAATGTAGGACAAGTGTTAGGAAACATGGCAATAAATTAGAATATAATTTACAAAAGCAAAAAAAAAAGTAACAGTGTACCACATTAATACTGAGTATAAAATAATAAACAACAACTAATCACAATAATACAAAGGTAATTTCATTCTGTATTATTAAGGATACCTATGTGACATTCACTCCAAAAAATTCCTAATGAAATGGACTGTTTGGGGAGTCATATGTATCTTGAGGGCTTTAATCAGTTGGGTATATTTACCTTTCCTTTTTTGGCAGGACTTTTTGCCAGTGGCAGATACTGCTCTCAGTCATGGGGTACCAGTTTCCTTGGGACTCCCTAAGTAGTCCACATAGCACAGTACTTTGGAGGGCCTGCCATGGTGGCTCAGCCTCCACTGACAATCCTATTGCTATTATTTAGGAAGAGAGCATATCACATAGCCATGTGGTTGACTGCACAGTTAGCAGCGGTATTGTGATATGCTGTAGAATATGATTTGTCTCCCCACTCAGGTTTAGTCCTGTTACATGCTGTGCTTGGTTCCTTCTAGCGGAGTAGTCTGATGCTGCGCCTGGAAGCCCTCTGCTCCTGACCTTGAGGCCGGTGCACACTCCTGAGGGAACACTAGCTGTCCCCTCTTCTAACGTTAGTCAAGGGAGCCCAGGGCAATGGTCCTCACAACGTTAGTTTTCAGGTGAGGTGTAGAATAGACTTAAGTCAGTAATGTAAGAAATCTTTTTGGAATACAAACATGAGCTGATATTTATGTTGGGGAAAAACAGATCCTGACAGGAAACCTATGCCTAAAATGCCACAAAAAGTACTCATCTTTTATTTACTTCACCAGGACACATTAGCACCAAGTTAACTGCTCTTTGCAAGGGACGGAGGGAATTCAGTGCTGGGGCCATGCTGCTCATGGGCTGCCTCCCCTTCACTGAATAGATGGTGCTTTGGCTCGTCTTTTCAGGGCAGTATACAGAGGGGCCCTGGCAATTGTTGTGTATCGTCAGTAGCTTTCTCTGGCAAGCTCAGGGACGTGAGCTATGGTGTTGAGAGAGAAAGCAGGCGAGAAAATAGGGATGACCACGACTGAGTGTGCAGAACATCCCGTGCTGACTGTCCATAGCAAACCTGAAGTTTAGGTTGGTTTTTGAAGTCTGTGAGTCTCTTTTCCTTTCTGAAAAAAACAAAACAAAACAAAAAAACCAAAAAAACTAATCTCTACCTTAGGTCACGGCGTAGCTTATACACCTGACATGTAGTTTGAGCACACACAGTGACGGGTTTAAGTCAAACATACTCTTTAACTGCAAGTAGTATCTTTACAAAGTAGCCATTTGGTTGGAGTTTGAGGTGTCGGTGTAGCACGGTGTACACACCTGTAGGATACAAAGCACATTCATCAAGAACCTGCTGCAAGCTACAAGTGTTCAAGTACAAAATACAAATAAGTACCCTCTTTTTTTCCCTTTTCTTTTAATCCCACCATTGAAGTTTTTGATGGCCATGACACGAAATTATTTGTGGATAGGGAAAATACGAGCTAGCCGATTTAATTTAGGATTCTGGATTTGATTCTAGAATTTGACTTGCCCAAGAAACTTGGTTTCACATTTGATTGCCATTCAGAGTATCCATAAAAAATACAAAATAGTTGGTTGAGTGACTATTAAAATTATGCTTTATGATCTTTAGGCTTCATGAGTTTTTCTTCTTTGGTTGTTATCCCTTGCCTACTTTAAAACTCACAGAAATAGCACATTTATGTGCAAGCACACTCATCTAACCCACACACTCAAAAGCGCCCGCACACACACACACACTTGCTTTCATATAAATAAATGCCCTTCTGCCATATCAAAGAAGGGACATCTGGAACCCATCACAATTGTCAGCAAAAGGGTCTGCCTGGTTGTCACTGAGCCAGTCTATCTTTTGCACGGCATCATTTCAGTAAGCTCAACACGCGTGCAATAGTCCAACAGGGCAGAAGCTGTTCTGTGGCCGGTGAGGAGGTCAACACAATTGAGTTGGGGTGACCCAAAGAAGAACTGAGGCATCCGTGTGATGGCAGCAAAGGGCCTGTTTCTTCGGTCTCTACCATACCCCTGGTCTGGCTTCTGCATGAAATCGAAATGTTTTTCTCTTAAAGTTTTAATGGAAATCTCAGCTTCACTTGCACAATGGCAAGTTGGCCACAGTCTTTTAGCACAGGATTTATAGACTCGCACAGCTGCAGTAACTGATGCACTGCCTTCAGCTAATTCCTTCACTGTTGTTCGGTTTAATATAGTTTATATATGGCTCACAGCAGTGTTCAGAACAGGGGGGTTATTCCTAAGGAAATTAAGTGGAATGAAGAAAAATCATACGAACTTTCATTACTTTTGATTTATAATTGCTCCTTAAATTACAGTTAAAAGCCCATTTTAGAATTTCAGTTGTGGTGCTGTTGTAGTGAGATAAAGTATAGTAAATATTTTTAAGCTATGACTTAAGATTTCTGAATCTTCTTTTACTTCCATAGTTGACCAAGTCATAACAGCTACATTTTAAACAGTTTTAAATACAAATGGATTCAGTGTCATTGCTAAGTCCATAATAAAAATTATCTTAATGGTCCAAGGAGGTAAACAGGCTATTGGATTTACTCGAAAGAACACAGACGTTCCATAGTAAGCAAGTCTCCCTGTGTTGTTTGGATCTCTCCGATCTGGCATTCCCTCCTTAATACCGTGTCCAGCACTTTGGATCAATAAATCCCACTTCACAGAAGTTAAAATAATATTGAAATCCTGTCAGCTAGGGCTGACCAGTGGTTACGTTTTCCACAGGGTAATGCATTTGCAAGGACATCAATCCTCTTCCTCTGGGTGGCTCTCCTTGATGGACGCATTTCCACGATGAAATGACAAGACGCTCTCTCTGGCTTTCCGTGGGTCAGTGTCCTTGGCAGGTCTTACAACACATCTGTCTGAAGTATGCTCGACTACAGAACTTGAACTTCAGCACCAGTGGGCAATAAGCCACTTTGTTCACATCTTTGCACTCTAACGAATGGGGGCAGAAAATGGAAAACAATTAGAGGCACATAAACAAGTGCATAAACAAGCCAATGGGACTGTGTGTTTGGTCAGGTCCCTCTTGCACCAATCCACCTTGGCTTCCACATCCATGTGGTTTTTGTTTTTGTTTTTGTTTTTAAGCATACCCTGTCTGGTACAGCCTACCAGAAACATTCTTTTGATAGATTTTAACACAATTAAAAAAAAAAGATTGCAAGGCTTTTCTCCCAGACTTTTATAAGTATGGTGCATGCCCACTGTGTCTTGAAAGAATTACCATTTGTTGGGATAAGTGATCACTTTAGACAGCTTGGAAACATGAGTCATTTTTCTTACAGCGCTTTTATTGCTTCTTTCTCAAGGGTTATTTTATTCGGCAGTGCAAGGTTATCCAAAATCAAACATGAGTTGCATTGTTTGATACCAAAGTACACATGTCTCAAGAGAATCTCTGCATCTGTGAGGCGTGGGGATGGGCCTGGGTGAATGAAAAGGATTGCTGACAGTGGCCTAGATTCAGCAACTACACTAGACAAAGAGGAAAACTTTGAGGGGTTGGCCTCAAATGGCAGCAGTCTGTGGGTTATGGAAACATGTAGAAATGTCTTTTTTTAATTTGGAAGTGAGACATGGCCTTCTTTTTTCCTATGTGTATTTTCTCCTCAGTGCTAGAATTGCCACAGTTGAGGTCTGCAGTTCTTGCAGCCAGAAGGTGAATAAATGATTCTTTCTCCATCTCCCCTTGAAGCTGGTTGCAGAAGATGGGGCGAAGGGGCCAGTGTAGAGACAGGCACACCAGTCTTTGATCCTCAGCACCCCTCTCACCACCACATGACCCCACTACTTCTAATAATGATATTCTTCTCTAGTCCTCTAGTCAATTTTATCTGGGGATTTTAAAATACTTTGTAAACCTAGTAATTAAATTTCCATATGCCTCCCAGAATCAAAGTTCCACCCTCATTTTTCCAGGTGGTTATACTGAGGCATCCTGGGTAAACTGCTGAAGGTAATTAGAATCAGGCAGAACCCTGGGTGAAGTTCAGTGTAACAGGACAGTTTTGTCGTCGTTGCTTGCTGGGTTATTTGCAAGTTTTTTTTCCTGGCTTCAGAAATCCACTGAAGTTCTAAGAGATCATATACATGGTACAGAAGGCATATATGATAAACTTGAGGAATTATATGCGAAGGAATGGGATAGTTTTCCATTATTATTGAGAAGTAAGGTAACAATTTTATTGATCTCACATTCCAGGCTCTTTCAGTGAAAGACTTAAATTTTAAACGGGAACCCTCAGTCTTCTGTGAATATAAACGCTGTCACCATTGAACTTCTTTACTCACAATTTGACTTACAAAAAGAGTAAAAGTTAGAAATTTGAATAGAAACTTTCCACACTAGGATTCTCAGTAAATGTAAGTTTTGGCTGAAAGAAGGGCAGAGAGACAAGAAAATTTTCTTTAAACGTTGTACTAAAAAAAGAAATCAGATGATATTTTATGAATCAAGTATGAATTTGAGGCAAAAAGATCTCCACATATTTTAATCTGAAGGTCACTTGGCATTATTTTCTTCCTTTTCTTCTCTGTCATGACCAGTAAAAAGTAACCAAAACAGGTTTAGACTAAGAATATTTTCATGGTGGTGGGGGGAATTTTTATCCATGTTACCAAGAGGAATATATTGTCAAGGTAATGCAATTATTAAAATGATGAGAAGGGCTCCTGGATGGTTCAGCAGGTTAAGCATCTGCCTTGATCCCAGGGGCCTGGGATTGAGTCCTGCACCAGGCTCTCTGCTCAGCAGGGAGTCTGCTTCTCCTTCACACTTTCCCTCTGTGCTTTCTCTCTCTCTCTTTCTTTCTCAAATAAATAAATAAATAAATAAAATCTTTTTTTAAAAAATGAGAAAAGTTGGGGCGCCTGGGTGGCTCAGTGGGTTAAAGCCTCTGCCTTCGGCTCAGGTCACGATACCAGGGTCCTGGGATCCAGCCCCACACCAGGCTCTCTGCTCAGCAGGGAGCCTATTTCCGCCTCTCTCTCTCTGCCTGCCTCTCAGCCTACTTGTGATCTCTGTCTGTCAAATAAGTAAAATCTTAAAAAAAAAAAAAAAAAAAAGAGAGAGAGAGAAAAGCCAACACAGTATCATTCATCTTTAATTCTAAATCACCATCCTGGGGCTCCTGGGTGGCTCAGTGGGTTAAGCCTCTGCCTTCGGTTCAGGTCACAATCCCATGTTCCAGGGATCAAGCCCCGAATTGGGCTCTCTGCTCAGCAGGGAGCCTGCTTCCCCCTCTCTCTGCCTGCCTCTCTGCCTACTTGTGATCTCTCTCTCTGTCAAATAAATAAATAAAATATTTTTTAAAAAATCACCATCCTAATGGGGCAGCCTGCCAGCAGAGACCACCCCTCCAAGTTGGCAGTGGGGCTTGATGGGATCGCGTCAAGTACAAAATAAATTTTAGCCAAAATATAAAGATCGTTTAGTTGAGAAACAACAAAGAGAGGAGGACTGGTTGCTTTAATAGTACAAGGAAATAAAATGAGAAGCCAGGCTGCCCTGGTTTAATACTAGTTTTCTCATTTACTGACTTTATGCCTCTGAACAAACAGCCTCTCTGTGCCCGAGTTTCCCTCTCTGTAAACGGGGATGATGAGAGCTCTTACTTCCACCCATAAGACGTCTATCCTATGTTGCCACCTGGAGCAGTGCATACACAGTTTGTCAGGACTTGATAAATACAAGACATTGAATTACAACCGTTACTACCACTATTAGTTATTATTTCGTATCACCTGATGACAGTAATATATAGATTACTGCTGGCGCATTATTTAGATTACTACTGAGAAAAGGCTGTCCTATTGACCTAAGTCAGTATTTTCTGGGGTTCAATTTTATTGGGAGATTCATTACTCCATTTTTGGAAGAGTTGCTGCTAGTCTAGGAAAATACTGAGATGAGCAAAATACAAGCAAATACATAGATTTTTCTTTTAGATTTAGACCTTGGAATCCAATTCCATGACAGATAATAACTAATGAATAAAATATTCATAAGTTGTTCCTCCCTCCAATTATCCCACCATCCACCCATCCAGGCCATTACAAATATACATAACTTGAGATTCAGCTTCATGCTGAAATGAGAGGACTCTACTCATCATGCAGAGGCCCAGAGCACAGTCCTTTGGCCACAAGCAGTGTCTAGCCTCGGGGTAGGCTGGAAGCCAGCTGCCAGGTTGTCCTTCTCTGAACTTTTCAATACCCCTCTCAAGTTAGTTGTCGACTAAGTTGATTCCAACCAGCTTGACTGAAAGCAGGAAGTCATTTGGGCCTTGGGAGCCGGATCAAGCTTAGTGAGGCAGGCACTCCTGAAGAACACACACAACGTGCCTGCCCCAGCACTATAACACAGTGGTAAGGTGTGGCAGATCTGGAGTGAGCCCTGGGGGTGAATTCTGGAGCTACTTCCTCCCTTATTTGATTGTCCTGGTTCCTTTACCTCTTTGAGCCTCAGTTTCTTCATCTGTGAAGTAGAGACCTGTGACAAGACCTACTCATAGGATGTGGTAAAGTGAGGCACACATGACATAGTGCTTACAAAGAGCATGCCCCCCGCTCCTCAACCCTCTCCCCTGGCACCTGGCACAGAGGAATCACTCAGTCCCTTAGCTCTCGTTATTACCACTAACACATCTGCCTCTGAGATCAACCATTGTGTATAATGTCTCTGGGATCCCTAACACAATGTACCTAGGCTCTCAGGGAGGGTTACACATTAGCATGCATGAGCAAATTAACAAAATATATCAAACAGAGAGTAGGTAAATCATAATGGTATAGGGTGGAGAGAGATGGGGGAGGAGCCAGGGTTGGGAATGCCAAGATGGGGACAATAGGCTTTGATGAGACATTAAAATGGAGACCTTGGGGCTGCCTGAGGACATGCAGCTTTGATGCGTAAAGGAAGATCCCTGAGGAAGACCCCATTCCTACTTCTTGGTTTTGCCTTCTAGAGACTGCCCAGACAGGGAGACTCAATCTATTTCTATGGAAATCCATTTACCAGAAAAGGTCAACCATGACTGGTCTTTTATTCTCTGCCTTTTAATGTCATAAGAGTTTGATACAGTAACGATCACATTAAAAATAATTTATTAAGTGCCTCCTATGTGCCAGGAATTGCCTGGCAATTTTACATACTTATATATCTAATCCTTTGATGTATATAAGACATCAGATTTACATAGATGGTAAAACTGAAACTCACAAACATTAGGAAAACTAGGCTGGTCACACAGCTAGTCAGTCTAAGAGCTGGGGCTTGGACCCCTCGGTTTTGGCAGCATTCTTGGTGGCATGGAACTACAAAAAGTTTTCTGCCTGTTAAGACTTCTGTATTCTTGGCAGATACCAAACGTCATGAGTCAACCCTTGGTGGGATCATCACCAGAAAATTTGCTTTGCCACCTTAAAAAAGGGGAATTAAAAAAAAATAATAATAACCTACACCTGGTAGGGGGCTCAAACTCATAACCCCAAGATCATGAGCTGCATGTTCCATTGACTAAGTCAGTCAGGTGACTAGAAAATGAGTAGGGTTTTTTTTAGCAGGTATTTGAAATAGCCTAAACACTTTTCTTCAGCTTTATCTTCCTCCTTCAATTGTGTAAAATGACATAAGTGAAAGGTGATTTGAGACGCACCAAGAAGTTTTAAATTCCCACTATTACAGAAAGCTGAATGTAACCTTAACTATATTCGGAAAAGTTTTAAATTATACTGGGCCATTCAGCCCATCTGCCACTTTTTAGCTTACCTAGAGAGGATCGACTTGTTGAGCTCTTGAATTGACTCATTGACATTCTGCTGATATAGTCAAGAAGGCTTAATTATAAAACTTACTAGCCTGCTTCATTCTCAAAGCCATTAAAAATATGAAATAATGTGGGGTGCCTGGGTGGCTCAGCCGTTAAGCGTCT